GAAGCTGGTCGTAACCCGAAATGTTCGTTAGTAGAGGCGTTCATAACCCGAGGTACCACTGATACTGTGTACTGATATTTGTTCTACAGATAGGAATAAAGTATTTGGCACATTTCTAAATGTTCAAAGAATACAAGCTCAATAATCATTGACACTTGAATGCATGAAATAGTATTTGGGAAATACTGGTTTTCTGTAGAATTCTTTTGACACTAATCTGAATTGACTTGTATATAAAGACTATCCTCCTTGTTCTGAAATCTCAGATACTGGGCAGATGCTATCTAGTCTGAGAAATAGTTTATCTGATATAGGAGTTCCACACTTACAAAGAAATTTCAGATAAGAGTGATGGATGTGGAAACATGAAAGGAGTGTGGAGGCAGCAGTTTTCTTGCCCAGTGAATAGGGAAAAAAACATTAAAGCTCTTTATTCACCTTGTTAGGCTGTATTTCATGGGTCTTGAATTCTCTTTCTATGGTAAGCAGTGGGTGAAGCCTTCAAGATTCTTGGGTTCTGCTTCAGCAAAATTTGAAACTATGTTGAAGTTTAAGGAAATATTTGTTTTCCTTTCCAGGACAGCCAGTGTGGGACGGTTGTTGATGTCAATATAGAGTGTGCAGTAAAACTGGTGGGAACCAACTGTATCTTGTATCCTGTCAACAGCAAAGATCTTCAGAATATCTGGGTGAGAATGCTTTAAACTACTTAGCCTGACACAGCAAGAACTCTTCTAGGTCACAAATTTAACTTGAAATCAACAGGAATAATAAGCAATGTCAGTTAATAAAGCTCACATTTGATCTAGAGAGAGTAATTCCTTTAAATCTTAGAAGATTTGGGATTCCACATCAATCTGCCTCTATATTAAGGTAGTCATCTAAGGCCTTTCTGTAGATGGTTTGTTACTTGTGGCTATATACAAAACATTTCTAGAAATGTTGAAGTAATAAAAAAGAGCCTTTTTTTTCTAGGGCTTTGAAGGGAAATGGTTATTTGGGGAAGAAAAGTAACTGTATGTAAAACTTAATTTTAGCACCCTGTAGAGATACAAATACTGTAAATGTTTCCTGCATTCTGAGTGCTTTGAAGCCTTGGGGAGAATAAGAACAGATTGACTGACCTCTAGATCAGAAACCAACAGGAGAAGATCAATAAACAAAGAATGCTTTCCTGTCCTATAAAAATAAATGTCAGAGCCCTTTAAGGAAGAAATGCATTCTTGTCCAGTACACAGAGTTGTATCAAATAGCTTGTCCTCTCTGTACAGGAATTGTATTGACTTGATACTGTAAATATTCTTACATAAAACTCTTCCCATATGTAGTTTTTAGAAATCATTTTGGGGAGTAAAGGCTGACTAACAATTCATGAACACTTTTCTTAGCCATGTTATGCATCATTTAAAAGTACACTATTAGAAGATATTTCATAATATATTTTTTCAGTTATTCCAGATTTTTTTCTGTGCCTTTGCATCTCTAGTTTTGATATCCAGTTTGTAAGCTCTTGCCCTTATTATAACACAGAGCATGTCCTTCTATTCTTTCAGAATAAAATCAAATTCTGGATTTAATCTCCACTAGAATATTATTTTTCCTTCCTCCTCTGTCTTACTATTAAATTGTTTCAACAAATTATTAATAGTGGCTAAGGTGCTGGCCTAGAAACTGGAAGCCTGTGAGTTCTAGGCCTTCCTTAGGTGTGAATGCTGGCTGGTGACTTTGAGGCAATCACTCTCTCTCAGCCCAGCCTACCTCACAGAGTTGTTGTTATGGGGAAAATAGGTGGCAGGAGCATTATGCATGCTATTTGCATTGTACAAAATAAAGGCAGGATATAAAAATAATAAAAGCAACAAGAACAACCCCTGTAAGCTGCTTTCCTGCAAACATTACTGTGTGGAATATGAAACAGATAATGCAATACTGTTTCCTATATTAGGAATGTATAAGAACTTGCTAATTTCTAACTGCATTTGTTTGTTTTCCTAGCTGTTTACAGTATATTATCTTTTTTTAATTAACTTTTTAACTCTTTTTCTACTTAAATGCTTTGATCGTGCTCTAAAATCCTTCTTAAAAAGATGAGAAGTGTTACACTTCCATCAACCACAGTTTGTTTATTTGTTAGATTTATATCCCTTCTTTCATACAGGAGTTTAAGGTGATATGCATAGTCCCCCATTCTATTTATTCCTGTAACAAAAACTCTGTCAGATAAATTGGACTGAGAGAGAGTGACTGGCCGAAAATCACACAGTGAGCTTCCATTGCTGAGGGTGTAGAATCTGGGGCTTGCCAGTGCCAGACCAGTACTTTAACCACTATATCACACTGGGTGTCACACAGTTCTTACAAGGCTGAGGAAACTACCTCTCAATTTATTGTCACACAAAACATTCTGTCTTTTCTTGGAACACTTTATATGTAAGATTGGTCCGGGATGTTTCCAGCTATTTTTATATTTGATTGTTCAGCTTCACTATGACATTGGTCATCAAATACAGACATTAATACATATCTGCATACTGGATTTATAAAGGAGGGAAAATTCCTTATCTGGAAGATGTTCAATTGATCATGTTCATTTGCACTTGAGGTAGTTCCTTCTTTGAGTTAGTTTACCCTATTACAATTTTATGAATTTAATTGAGTTAAAATAATCTCTGATAAAATAAACTAAGAAATCAGGTATTCTAACTCTCTCCTTCCCCCTCAGCCCTTTATGTATGGTGACTGCATAGCCTATGACTGGTGGCTTGGAAAGGTGTATGATTTAAAGAACCAAATCATTCTGAAGCTCTCCAATGGCGCCAGGTATTTCTGTTGCTTCTGCTATGGAGCATGTGATTAGCTATTGAATAAATATAGGTTCTTAAGGGCTGTCTTCTACACATGCTTATCAAGGAGTAAGTCCTATTAAACTTACTCCCAGATAATTAAGTTCTGAATTAAAGTCTCATAACACTGATTTGTTAGGATTTGTTAGTTGTACTCTTATTCTTCAGATAAGATTTATGTTGATAAATCTATTGCAGTATAGAATCCTTAATAAGAAGTTGGGGATTATTTCAAAGTTACCTGCATAACCTGAGTGAAAACTGGCAATTTGGGATGATTGCTTGGCTCTTGCATTCCTAACATTACTATTTGTATGTTAACTCGTCTATCTGTCTTGCCTGCAAAAGCTCCATTGGCCAGCCCATGTAGTTGCATAATGTCAGTTTTAGGAGGCTTTTATGTTATAGTGGGAGGCTGTGGGGTACCTGGATTATACAGCAAGCACATAAGAACTTTGTTGAAGCAGCTAGTTAAGTAAAAAAGTAAATTTCCAATTAATAAACTCTTCTGATATTTGCTTATCTGAATCATGCTCTCCAGATATTTTGGACTACAACTCTCATCAGTTCCAGTTAACATGGCTACTGTCAGATACAGTACAGAGAAAGTTGTAGCCAAAACGTATAGAGGACACCCTTTTTGAGAAGGCTGGAGAATTGGACGCTAACTCTGGAAATACTGTTATTGTTAGATATAATTGATAGTCTATAATTACTATTTCTGAACTACATGTTATATAAGTGAATTAATCTCAGTATTTACCAGTAGTACTTTACTATCTCATTGTTTGAGCAGATCATCTGCCCTGATGGTAGTATCCTCATTTCATTGTATTGAACAAGGATGACAACTCTGTTTGAATTCAGCACCTTGAGTACATTTTTCTGGCCCCATATGTCTCTCCTAAAATCTGTAGAATGTAAGACATTTTTGTCTGTATTAAAGCTATATTTCTTATAATGTCATGGGTAATATATAAATATATCCATCTATTCCCAAGTATCTTACTCAACCATAACAATAACAGGCTTTATTAAAGGCCTTCATATTGGTCTTAACATTAGGGCTTCATACAGTAGGGCCCTCTTAGGCTGTATGTGTCAGGACACTTCAGCCTTTTTTGGGCCAGTGGGCAGACTAGAATTCTGTGACCATGTTATAAGCACTTTCACAAAATTGTTGTGCATGGCTGATGTAGCCAATTGTAGAACATCCATTTACCAGATGGCAAAAAGAACAGAGTCTCATTTTATTTACTAGGAGTGCCCCAGGGTGTCTGGGGAATCTGAGGGCATTGTTGAGTATATGGTTATGTTTGATGTTATTGATTTGTTTGCTGCATGCTAACTAATTAAAATAAACTTTAAAAAATAAAATCAGATAGTGTAGAAAGCTTGGTGAACATGAAAGGATATTGCCCCAGATGCCATGCTGGGGATCCATACAGTTTGGTTATATCTGCATTTTTTCCCCCATGTGTGTATAGCCTAGTTACTAACAACAATTAATATAGATAAATCTTGGAGGTGGGGGGAGCTCAATAAAAAAAAAAAATGGCTTGCATGCAAAAACGTCCAGGTTCAGTTCTTAGCATCTCCAGTTAGGACTGGCTAAGAAAGACTTCTGCCTGAAATTCTGGAGAGTTCTCAACAGTCAAAGTGAAATATATACTGAGTTTAATGGACAATGATTTGATTCAGTATATAAAGGCAATTTACTACACTCCTGTGTCTAACTTTCCTCTCTAGATAATCGTTTGTATCATTTCCTGATTCAGTTGCTTAGTTTTATTATGACGTAAGATAAAAAATTAACTTGGAAAAAAAACATGAACCCTCTTTTCCTTTTTCTCCTGAGATCAGTTCTGTTTCTTTTTACCACTGCCTATAACATGCCAGCATATAACTTGTGCCCCATACCTATCTAATTTACTGAGCAAAGTGGGAAGTGGAGAATTTGAAAGAATTGCTATCATAATTATTTGGAGTTGCCTGAGAATTGCAGGATCACACCTTCCCTTAAAATTACTAATTATGCTACTTTCTCAACTCAACCAATATTGATATTTATCACTTCCAAACTGATGGATAGGAGCTCAATATTTTCCCCAAAACGTATTAATTTTTTGCAGCAGTCCCTTTTCTATTCAGTTATCACATACTGAATCATTTTTCAAAATGGGTTGATAATGACCTGTATATAGGATACAGTATCATGTACTACATTTTACTACATTTACTACATTGGTTAAATTTGTTAAGTTTTAGTATAAGAGCATGTAAACTAAAATATGCTGTTAAGAAGGTTCTGCTAACTCTTATGCAGTCTGTTTCCCAATGATTTTGTGTTTCTTCAGATGTTCCATGAGCACAGAAGATGCAGCAAAACTCTATGATGTCTGCCCACATGTCAGTGATTCAGTAAGTTTTTTTCATCATTTTTAATAATTCTTAATTTGTAGATATACATTTCAGCATATTCTTGAGGACTTGCTAGAACATAGCCTAGCTGAAACATTATTCAGTGTTAGGGATTTGGGAAAGGAGTGGGGAGAGAGTTAGATTTGCTATTATCATGTAATGTAATGAAATAGTTAAACATTTTTCTGACTGCAAATAGCAGCTTAGGGCATAACTGTTATGTGTGGGTATTTGAAGCTAAAAATCATTCAGATGGAGACAATCCACTTTGTTCCATATACTTCAAAAACATCACCAGAGTTTTGATCCTATCCAAATGTTTTTAATACAGTGTTTTCTCCTGCCAAAAAGTAAATGGCTGACAATAATTTTTGCTTGGAAAAAAATAAATGCAGCAAGACCTGGCCCTTCTCAACAAATAGACATCTCCCCATTGTTGCTTATAGAAACAAGTAAGCTATTGCTCTCAGGTACTATTCATATAGGCTAATAGTCTTCTCTTTGCCTGCCTAATAGTTGGACAATTCATGCATAAGTAACAGTTGTTACCAGCTTTATAAGTAAGGAAGTACACTCAGAGAATGCAGTTTATTGCCAAAGGCTCAAGATGTTAATTAGCACAGGTTAATAGTAGGTTTTTCTATTATTGTGGTCAGTTGAAATTATGTGTTTGTTTCCTTGTACCTCTGAATTCCTTGTACTTTAGCCAGTCATAATTCTATATGAGATTTCTGTCGTCATTTAGAAATGGCTAGAAACTAATTGACTAGAACAGAAAAAAGCACTTTAGGAGGAGCAGGAAGACTAGCCCCAAGTTCTTAAGTATTTCCTTAATGATAAAAATAAGGGTAAAATGCAGGAATTGCATTCCACTGGGACAAATCATGATTTCATAATATCTGACTCGTGCTTCTCATTTTGTTTCATTTTTTCAGGGCCTCTTTTTTGATGATTCATATGGCTTTTATCCTGGGCAAGTTCTCATTGGTCCTTCAAAAGTCTTCTCAAATGTGCAGTGGCTTTCAGGAGTGAAACCTGTACTCAGTACGAAGAGCAAATTCAGAGTTGTGGTAGAAGAGGTATGTTTCAGTGAGCTAACCCTATTATGAGATCATCATTTGGATTTTCCCCAAAACAAAGCCTGGTGTGCAGTCTTCAGATGACTGTGTAAACTCAGAGGGGGACTAGCCTGCTGTTTGAGAAACAATCCCATTTCAGCATTTTTTTTTCTTGCTCAGTTCATAGTCTGAGTTCCTAATAGAAAAAGTCTATAATATGGAAGTTACCTCCATGTAGATATTAGATTTTTAGTATTTGAACAGAGGAATCCTTAGTAAAGGATGCCTCTTGACAGGTAAATGCAGAGGAATGTAGAGATAACCTTGAAGAAGGTACAGTGGGGCAAAAAAGTATTTAGTCAGCCACCAATTGTGCAAGTTCTCCCACTTAAAAAGATGAGAGAGGCCTGTAATTTTCATCATAGGTATACCTCAACTATGAGAGACAAAATGGGGGAAAAAAATCCAGAAAATCACATTGTCTGATTTTTAAAGAATTTATTTGCAAATCATGGTGGAAAATAAGTATTTGGTCAATATTGGGGGAAAAAAATCCAGAAAATCACATTGTCTGATTTTTAAAGAATTTATTTGCAAATCATGGTGGAAAATAAGTATTTGGTCAATATTGGGGGAAAAAAATCCAGAAAATCACATTGTCTGATTTTTAAAGAATTTATTTGCAAATCATGGTGGAAAATAAGTATTTGGTCAATATTGGGGGAAAAAAATCCAGAAAATCACATTGTCTGATTTTTAAAGAATTTATTTGCAAATCATGGTGGAAAATAAGTATTTGGTCAATATTGGGGGAAAAAAATCCAGAAAATCACATTGTCTGATTTTTAAAGAATTTATTTGCAAATCATGGTGGAAAATAAGTATTTGGTCAATATTGGGGGAAAAAAATCCAGAAAATCACATTGTCTGATTTTTAAAGAATTTATTTGCAAATCATGGTGGAAAATAAGTATTTGGTCAATATTGGGGGAAAAAAATCCAGAAAATCACATTGTCTGATTTTTAAAGAATTTATTTGCAAATCATGGTGGAAAATAAGTATTTGGTCAATATTGGGGGAAAAAAATCCAGAAAATCACATTGTCTGATTTTTAAAGAATTTATTTGCAAATCATGGTGGAAAATAAGTATTTGGTCAATATGGGAGAACTTGCACAATTGGTGGCTGACTAAATACTTTTTTGCCCCACTGTATGCAGGAACAAATAAGGGAAAATAAGAGACAGTTCAGCCCTAGGAAAGGTGGAGGCATGAGAAAGAAATTCATAATAAACCTGCCCTTGATTCTGTTTGGTTTAAAAGGAGGCAGGGGGGGAAAACCAGTCAGACTTTCAAGATTTTGTTGTTATACCTACAATAATAAAGTGGCAGTCCTGTACTACAATCTTTGTGCTATCTGTTTCCTGACCTGGCCTATGCTGAAGGGCTAGCAGAAAATAAAAAAATATATATTTGTCTAATATGTTGTGCATCTCTTTAAGATGCATTATTAATATTAGGATTATATCCCAGAAAGAGATGGAAATCAAAAGGAAATTCAGAATGTAAGACAAAAGACCCTGGAGGGTGGCTCAAAAAAGTAAACACTATCAGAAATTGTATTTTAATTTTGCAAATGGCTTTAGTTACAAAGTACAAGGACATTCTAATGAAATACTTTTCTTAAAATCCACCTTTTTGTTCCCTAGGTACAGGTAGTAGAACTGAAAGTTACTTGGATCACTAAAAGCTTCTGTCCTGGGGGAACTGATAGTATAAGCCCACCACCATCTTTAATCACACAAGAGAATTTATCTAGGTAAGAAGTAGTTCATACCAGCTTTCTCAAAGGCCTGCTCTCAATAAATTGCTTAATGTCTTTAAATTGATAAAAGTAGAATAACAACTTGCTTTCTTACAATGCATTGTTTTATAGCTACCCCTCAGATCTTACTGGGGGGAAACTCAACATAGTTAATCTGGATGTTCACAGTGAATGGATCAGTTCTGCTTGAAACAGGCAATCTTGAAAGTATGTAAGTGTATCACACCATGTAGGGTTCAGTAGGCAATGACAGCATTATTGGCAACCAATGCAATGCCCATAACACCAGGATTATATGATTATGACAGCTGTTGCAACCAGTAAATAGGCTGCTGCACTTGGTATGAACTGCAAGTTCCACGTAGTCTTCAAAGGGAGTCCCATGTAGAGTACATTGCAGTAGTCTCAACTAGAGATAATAAGAGTATGGGTAATTGTTGTCAGGGCCTCCTGTTCCAGGTAGGGCTATAATTGGCATACTAGCTAAAGCTGGATAAAATTCCACCTAACCACAGCTTCCACTTACCTACCCAGTAGTAGTCATGAATCTAGGAGGATCTGAAAGTTGTAGACCTGCTCCTTCAGAAGGAGTGCTATCCATCCAGAGTGATCAGCAGGTAAAGAGCCAGATGGTTTCTGGACAAACATCATATTTATCTTGCTTAGTTTCAACTTCAGTTTCTTCCTTCCCATCCAGTTCTTCTTGGCTTCCATGCACACACAAGGTCAAGACCTCCACAACATTTCTGTCCAGACCTGAGTTAGAGATGTATATTTATTATTTGTTTGTGCATTTGGTAGACTTATATCCTGCTTTTTGCTCAGGAATTCAGAGTAGTGTGCAGAGTGCTCCCTTGTCCCATTTTCCTCCATAATAACAACTCTGGGAAGTAAGTTGGACTAGGAGAATGTGAGTGGTCCAGAGTCACATATCTGAGTATCAATGTATTGATGATACTGTACCCTGAGCCTACTGATGACCTTTCTCAGTGGTTTTGTGTAGATATTAAAAAACCCAAGAGAGCAACTGTTGGGTTGATATCTCCTCTCCACTTACCCCTAGGCTAAAGCTACCCACTTAAGCAGAACCATTGAAGAAGCATGCTCCCAATTCCTGTCCTTGTAGGCAGTCCACAAGAATAACACAGTCAGTGGTACTGAAAACTCCTAACAGGTCCAGAAGAACCAGAACAACATACTTCCCCCTCTTTCACTGTCATCCTTTTCCCCAATGAGATGTTGCCTGCTTCCTGGATCACCCCTTGCCCCCCTCATGAAGAAGTCAGATTGAGCATGAATCAAGCCCTCAAGTGGTAGAGTTCATCCCACTGAAATTGGGATGATCCTCAGAATTGATGGACAAATGAATCCCAGGTAACCTTTCAAGCCATTATCCGACTCATCTCCTCCGAACTTGCTTATGTAGAATTTGAATGAGGTCATCAGTGCAGTATTGCACAAACTTTTCTTAGTTCTTCCTCTGTTTCACCAACCCAAAGGGAGTGGATCACTCTAAATGTGGTTATTGGGCCATCCTCTACTGATGCAGACAAGGTAGAGAAGTAAGAACACTTTGCTACTGTTGTCATCACAGTGTAGGTTCAAACATGAACTGTTACCCATGTTCAAAGTTTACAACCAGTTTTATTCCACTGATACTCCAGACATCTCTCCAGCTGCTTCATCTCCTAGAGTTTTTCATCTCAGCCCTTGAGCTTTAGGAGGAAGAATACAGTATAAATCTAACAAATGAAATAAAATGTAATTACAGAATTCAAGGCGTAGACATGCTCTGAATTTTGTTGGAGAGCTAGTTTGGTTTACTGGCTAAGGCATTGAACTAGGAGAAGGGAGACCTGAGTTCTAATCCTGCCTCAGGCACAAAGCCAGTTTAGTGACTTTGGGCCAGCCACTCTCAACCCCAGGAAGAAGGCAATAGCAAACCACGTCCGAAAATGTTGCCAGAAAGCTTCCAGGTGAGGACAGCTGACTTCCAGGTGAGGACAATGGCAGACTAAGACCTTTCCAAGGGACAGACCCGGGTCAATGGAGCCTCTCCAGAGGAGAGGCCAAGAGATCGCCCACTTGAGCTCTGGACACCTGCTCCTCACGAGGAGACTGCAGGATTGCAGTCAACTCATCAGTCAAAGCACCAGGAGTTGTGGGAAAGACATCAAGTTCACAGCCGCAGTGGAGCCTGTAAAGACACTGCATTCACTAAAACCTCACTTTTTTAAGCACATTTGAATTAAAATTACTTCAAAGCTAAAAGAGATCAGTTTAAGAAAAGTAGTTTTTAAAAAACCTTCCAGTGAATGACACTTCATTCCAGGTCAAAGAAAAGAATAAAATAACAATTTAAAGAATTCAAGATTAATGGCAAAAGGCTTAACAAGAACTTAACCTAAGAAAGTTTAAAATGGATTAAAGGGCCAGTTAAATTTGAAATATTAGGATTTTTATTAAAATGTTTTTAACATAAATAAAATAATACCCTCATGGGAACACAGATTGTTTAGAGTTCTAGTGGAAAGACAATTGGTGGACTTTGCAAAACAAAGAGATAAAAGAAATTTGAGACAAACTATGTGACCGTAGAATTATAGAGTGTCAGAAGGGATCAAAGATTTAGAGACTAGAGAATGGCGAAAAAGAAAAAAAAGTCTCCCCTTTACTTCTACTTTTGTACCTGATAAAACGGCTGTTTTTAGAAAAGCAGTGAAACCTACAGAAATGACAGAAAAAGGTATCACACTTGAGACATTTCAAAAGTTCTTTGAGGAATTGGGAAAGAAGGTTGCAGCTACAGTAACAGGATCATTAACTGCCTATTGGAATGTATCATTTAAAAGAAATCTGAAAGAGGACTTAAAAGCACAGGTAGTCCTCTAGTTACGACCATTTGTTCAGCAACCATTTGAAGTTATGACGGTGCTGGAAAAAATGGACTTACGACTGGTCCCTGAAGTTATGGCTGTTGCAGAGCCCCCACGATTACGTGATCATGATCTGGGCACTTTGTAACCCATTTGCACTTATGACTAGTTGCCAAGCACCCTGTGATCACCTGATCGCCATTTGCAACCTTCCCTGCTGGCTTCCTACAAGCAAAGTCAATAGGGAAGCCAGCAGGGGAGGTCACAAGTTGCTCAGGTAAGCCTCCCCCACCCAGTACCACAACCTCCTTCTCCCTCCGCTCACATGCACTGCGCCCTCCACTCCCTCACATGCACCAGCTCCCTCCTTCCCCTTCATTCATGTGCACCATGCCCTCCTTCACTCGCTCACACACACCAGCACCCTCCTTCCCCCTTCGCTCACTTGCATGCATACACTGTGTTCTCCTTCCCTCCGCTTCTTCCCATGCACCACGCCCTCCGCTTGCTCACATGCACCAGCGCCCTACTTCCACCTTCACTCACACACACGCATCATGCCCTCCTTCCCTTTTTGGCTTGCTCACACACACTATGCCTCCTTTATGCTGTGCTGTGGTTCTGGGGCTTTGCAGGAGGAAGGAGAAAGCCTCATAAATGGCCAGCAGCTTCCAATGTGAGCTGCAGAGTGCGTGTCAGAAGCGCCCCTGGAGAGTCCTTCCGTGCCCAGAAGCACCCCTGAAGCTCTTCTCCAGCACCAGAATCACCCCTGGAGAGTCCTCGAGTGAGGGAAGGAGGGTGCATTGCATGTGTGTGTGTAAACAAAGGGGGAAAGAGGATGCAGTGCGTGTGAGCAAGCAAAGAGGGAAGGAAGGCACTGGTGCATGCGAGGGAAGGAGGGTGCTGGTGCATGGAGTGAAGGGGAAAGAGCACACTGGTTTGTTTGAGTGAGCAAAGGGGGAAGGAGGGCCAAGGAGCCCCTGAGCCACAGAGTGGCAAGGAGCCTCAGAGCTGCACAGTTCTGGGGCTGGTTGCCACCCCGCAAGACAAGGTGCAGGGAGGCCAAAAGGGAAGAGATGGGGGGAGATAGGTGGGGGGAGTTGGAGGTAGTCCCTTAGCTTACTGAGGCTCAAGGCTGGGAGGGACCAAGCCTGGAATGCCTTGGATTGGGGTGGGGCTTTGGCTAATGATCCGTGGTTTTCACTTAACAAGGGCAATGGGAAGTGCTGGGAGTGCCATGGTTAAGTGCTGTGGTCATGTGACGTCTCATTTTACAACCACATTGCTTAGCAACAGATATTTTGGTCCTAGTTGTGGTCGTCTCTACCTGTAGAGACAAAAAAATAATCTTAAAGAATTTACAGGACAACTAAGTGGAGAGTTAATTCAAAGTGAAGTCAAGGTGGAAATTTTGGAAAATAAAACAAATTTTGGAAAACAAAACAGAGATGATAATCAGAGGGGAGATACAAACATTAAGTCAAGAGATGAAAAATGATGTGGATAATGGACTATTACTAGATTTACAAGGGAAAGGAGGACTTACACCACAGCTTGGTGAAAATAGTAAGGAGAGGGTTGTTGAAGCCTCAAAAAAAATTTTAGGGTGGGCAAAAGAAGATATGGATGAAGACCAAGTCCTACAAAATATTTTAAGGTCAAGTTAAGGATTAACAATGTCAGAATACTATGCAAGAGCAAAGAATATAAAATTAACTTGTTTGATCAGGGATAAAGGTAAGTACTTTTATAAAATACAGGAAATGCTTCATGGACTTTTTGCGGAAACCAGACAGAACTGTCACTGATTTTTGGATTTGTGGATTGAAATAGGTTGGGATACGGGAAGAAGTGATATATGTAACGTAATTTCAAAAGGAGAGGAAAGATATAAAGTTGCTAGTACCTACTGTGAAGAAGATCGGAAGTAATTTCTTTAAATATCTTTTTTTCCTTTTCCTTTTTTATTTTCTGCACTCTCTATTTTCTGTTTATATTTCTTTTTCCTCTATTTCTCTTTCTCTCTTTAATTTCGTTTTGTATTAGCTTTTATTACTGTTAAAAATCTTCAATAATTTTTTTTTTTTTTTAAAAGAAACAAAAACGTTGCCAAGAAAACTGCAGGGACTTGTCCAGGTAGTCACCAATCTGACTCAAACCAAAAAAAAAAAAAAATTGAGCTTCCTCTGTTTTATCCTAAAAACATTATGTTTGTTTGGGTTGGGGGGGGGGATTATCCACTGTGGTTTGTAAATCATGGTTTCTTTCTTGGCATGGATTTTACATCAACTAAACCAAAACAAATGCACCATATGATGGATTAATATACGTGAAAATGATATTAAGACATGCATACATGTGAGTTGCTGGGCATGCAGATTTTGAAAATCTGCTTAATTCTCTCTACAACAAAAGCTTATATGTATTGTATGATATTATATGACTCCTCAGCTTGCATCCAGCCTTCTGTTTGCCTGCCCTACCCAGAGTCATTTTTAAGATGGGCGGCTATACAAATGTTTTAAATAAATAAATAAATTTCTGGAAAGAATTGATCTGGAAGGCCCAGTAAATGTGGAGTTTGCTTAGTATAAAAGTTTCAGCGTCAGCAGTTCTGTACTGAGGGGCTCTAGGATAACTGGGTTCTGAAGGAATAAAGCTTTTGAGCCATGTACATGTGCATATGTGTGTGCACGCCTGTGCATCTCATGACCTGTTTCTGTATATGGCTTGAAACCCAATCCCTCCTACTAAAGGAGTATGTTTTCCATTAGTAAATCTTTTTTATTATTGAGTTTAGTCTAATTTGTTTGTAAAATTAAGTGGTTATCTTTTTAAATCCTGTGATTTCCCAAATAGCGTATCACTGTGCATATACTTGAAAACACGTTTAGACCTTTCAGCCAACACTAAAGAATCAGGAAGAAGATAACATCCAGCAATAAGGTGATACTGCTTTTGTTTTGCTTTTAATAGGGTAAAGCGTCTGGGCTGTTTTGACCATGCTGAGCGGCAACTTGGGGAAAGGTGTCTGTATGTATTTCCAGAGAAAGTGGAACCAGCAAAAATCACGTGTGAATGCCCAGAGAGAAACTGTGTTCTGGGAGAAGGATCTGTTTCCAAGAAGGTATGTGCCCTGGTATAACTTGACTGACAATATCAAACTATTTACTTCTGACAAGTCCGCTTTATTCATTACTTCTTGTTCAGCTCTGTATATCCCCACTATTGCTGATTTCTGCTATGGTTAAGAAGATGGAATGGTCTCCAGGAGCTGCATTCCCTTTCTTCACTCTGTCTCCCAGGCCCTCGTATTTTAAGAAACACCTGAGCACAATATTAATTGAATGCTTAACCACGTTCGGACATCACTTAGGCTTGTAGGTTGTGCAGACATGGGTTAGCATAAACTGTGCTTAATTATTAGTATTATATTCCCAATCTACACATCAGCAAAGGATTAGGGAGAGATGAATGTTAAGTGCTCCCAGAATTTTGAACTGAATTCCTCTAGTGTTGGAGGGAAATACACATAATAGTTGATCATTCAGAGAAAATGCATAGTGTTCTGTTCTTTGGATTAATTGATAAATAGTGGAAGTTGCCTGAGCCCCTGAATACTGATTTATAACAAATTTTTCACATGAGAAATGCTTGTTATTTACGCATAGTAACCTGGGTCTAGTTTTGATGCATTTCAACACCTTTGTGTACTGTTTCAGATAAAATCTGGATTAAAATCCAAATCTGAGATGCAGATTAATTCAGAATTTATATTGTAGAGGGCTGTTTAAGCATTTCACAAATTGCAAGCAATCTATCCCACATGTTTAACATTTTTTATATTGCAATCTATATTTAGTATAATACATGGTATCTTACTGTTTTACAATCATAATAATATCTGACAAATGTATGCCCTTGACACTTCATAGCCAATATTTCCAACCATACACCCATTATTTTTATAAGCAGCTTTGGGACTAATGTAAAATGTTAATATAGTGAGATTTCAGTTACACATTCTTTAAGCTAGGCCTGTTAAATCTCATTCACGAAAGAATACATAGCACATGCCAAGTATGGTGGCTCAGCCAAGCCTTGCTTTTTTTTCTTATTTTAAAATAGTGAAATACAAAAATACCTACATCACCAACAGAGTAAAAAGATAGTGAAAAAATAAAACCTAGATATATCAAACTGATTAAAATAAACTAAATATGGTATGACAAAAGAAATTAACCAAAAAAAGATCCATATGGTAACTATAGATAACAGTATACAGTTAATTCAATCCTTTAGCTCATCATTAAATCTAGACCATATATCAACGTTGTACGCTGCCCAGAGTCACCTTGTGTGAGATGGGCAGCT